ACTCTAGAGTCTAGGCTTAAGTGTTGCCTGTAAAATTATGATAATATTTGACAAATGGAGGAATGGAAAGTAAGCCCACTTAAGGCGTTGCTAGGTCATCAAAAGCCTATATTCTCTCGAAAATTAATAAGAAAGGTGTCACACTAAGGATTATCGTATATAAGAGGGACCGTGATGGACAAAACATCACGATTTATTCACACTTAGTTAAGGAAAATATCTGAAACGTGGAGGTTTTGAGTAAAGAATTATTACGACTTTGCTAAGTCACCATTAGAACAGTAGATAATCAGTAGTGAATTGCTTGTTCGTTTCGATGCAGTGTCTGCGCACATGAATATTCCACAAGACAGGATAAATCGGGATTTTAAGTTGATGCTAGATTAACATCCTGAAATTAGGAAGAAATTATATCGTAAAAGTGATCAATTTAGTTAGTAGCAGCACAGCTTATATCTGCAATGCCAAGTTGTCCAAACAAATAGAAGGTTTAACCATGGGATCGTATTGATCTCCTATTTTTGATAACTTAATAGTGGCTTAAATGAAGGTTCGATGGATTCAAGAGGTACTGCTAGTTCCAAAATTATTAGTTAGGTCTATGGAAGACTACTTTGTTGAATGTCAACAGAGCGAAGGTAGATAGGAAGAATTCCTTGAGATCAGGTGGGATTAGTATATTTGCCATGGAGTAAGAAAAGGAAGATGAGTCACCTTTTTTGGATGTATTATGAGAAAAGGCGATAAGTTGGGTAGAGATTTGTATTTGAAATCGAAACACGAGACTTTCTTTATCAAATGATTCTCTAATAATGCAGTGTTAATGTAAGAGTCAATGAATCTATAATAATTGAGAACGTGCATCCAGCAGGCGTTTATAGCTATGATTAGGAAGTCGGTAAATTGATAAATAAATAAATTCAAAAAGATTATCCACTTTTAAATAGTAAGATAGAATGAGAATAAATAGCAATTTATCGCAGTAGATCACTCTACTTGGTCCCCGATTTTTTCGTCTTGTCAGCTTGTGAAAAAGTTAAGTGAACTACTTACTTGTTCGTTTCAGAATTTGCAATCCCTCTTTCAGGATCATTGCTTTCATATCTCAGCGGTCCATTTGACTCTATTCTAAGATGGAGGCTCAATTCAGTGCTCTAAGCAATGACTCTATTTGTGATATCGAAACACTTAAACTAGATTCTGTCATATTAGCAAATTTATCACAGAAGAGCAAACCTGGTGATGATTAAAGCCAATTGAAGGTCCTTCAAAACGTCAAGACAGACACGAATTGCATCGTCCAGACAGCCAGATAACAGGAAAAGGCTCGCTGATTGGCAGAATTTGTGCTGCGAGAGCAAACGGAAGGCATTCAATTTAGCTTGTCGGCATGCGGGCGAGCCCGGCGAGAAATCTGACCGAAAAAAATCTTCAAGCTTCTTATTGTTTGTTAGTCTAAAGAAGATAATAACGCAGATAGTAAAAATACGGCACAAAGTGTTATCCACATGTAGGTATAAATGGAAGGCATGATGGTAATGAATTGGAAAAATAATTTCTTGGAATAAAATTCGGATGTAAAACAATTTAACATAAGAAACATTATGGAAAAGGGTTTATTCTAGAGCATTCTAACGCAACCACCTCATTATTCAGAAGATCTGGTCTAAAAAATTTGGTGCGCAACATAGATCCTTGTTTATATCAAATTAATTTCCGTGTTACTTTTTATTTATAGCTGATAAATCAATTTCTCAGAAACCCGAAGACATAGGGGAAGCTAATGCATCCTACCACTTCTCCAGCATCCTAACAAGGGAAAAGAATAGCACCATCATTTGTAAGGTCTTCATACAGCCATGAAAGATTGTTAATCAGTTTGGCAATCAAAAGACTATGGAAGCCGCGTTCTCCGCAAACCTGTGGAAAAGATGGATATATTTAGTTGTTGGTAGCAATTATTTTCATAAGGAAACAGACTTTTTCATGTTGATGACAATAACGAAAGAGACCTGAAATCTATTCCGCAATCTCGCGTATTAGACACTTATCACAAAGTAGCCTATTATTTATTATAATAGACGTTAAACGTGAGAGATTAATATCGAATCTCAGGCCTCAACTATCTGGTATAGATCTGACAGCTGACAACTTACATCGTCAATAGCTCATAAACGAATAAACCAGAAATATGGGAATTATAAGTCGATCAGTAGGATGAGCATATGACACTACTTATTGAGCCAGACTTCGTCCATGGCAGTCATTGCAAAAGCAGTTAAAAGTATATCTGCCAGAGTGCGCTGATATAGGGGATTTAGGCTTAATCTCTTGAAATAGGACTATACCAATTAATTTCCCAACACAGCATTAACATTCTGAAAAGTGTTGCGTCGCCTAACCTAATTTGCCAAAGTG